AATAAGAGATCAGCACCATTGAGGGATAATAGGACAATATTTCTCCAGAGTCAGCACAGAGAAATCTGAATCAGTGGGACCAGACAGCATCTTGACCTGGCAGCTGAACTTGGCAATGTATAAGCATCATTGGTGTGCTACTGGCTTTGAAGGCATGAAAGATAAAAGATTGACAACCTGGTCTACATAGAAAATTCCAGTTCAGACAGGGCTATATCATGAGATCCTGTCTTAACAACAACAAAACCAACCACAGTACATTAGACATACCTTTTCTTCAAATCCTTGAGGATATTTAATTTTTAGTAGCCACCCTAATACATATGAAGTGCCTATCTCACTGTTATCTTAAGTTACATTTCTAGTACTAAATATTGGTGAATGTTTTCATAGGCTTATTGGTCATTTGCATATCACCTTAAGGTAAATATCCTTCCAAGTGCTTTTCTCATGTTGCAGTTGTATTATTTGCTTTATGTTTTTACATTGAGGTCTCAAGAGATAAAGGCATTACATAATGGCAAAAGGATATGTTCCACAGCAACATGCCAGTCAAGGGTATCTATTTATTTAATTTCAGGGCTTCTGAATGAAGCAAGTGTTTATAACTGAAGGAAAACGTCCACAGCAACATGGAAGTTTAAGATTTTAACTCCTTGCTTTCATTATTTTAATTTATTTAATTTTGTTTCTTGAGGTGCTCAAGGCTGGTCTTGAACTCACAGAGATCCAAGGGCCCCTCCCTCCCTAGTGCTGAGATTAAAGGTGTGTGCCCCCACACATGGCTCAATTCCTCACTTTCAATAATGAAAAGAACAAACAGACATCAGTAAGGAAACAGGGCTTGGACCTCTATTATAGACCATTTAGACCCCAAACTATGCCTAGAAAAACACAACAGATATTATTTTCCAAGTATATTTGGAATATTTCCCAGGATAGACCTTGCTAAAATATGAAATGCTTAAATAAAGTTAATATTAATATAATATAGATTATTTTCTCCAGTAAAAAGGGACCAAGCCAGAAATTAGTCAACAGGAAGAAAATAGAAAAATCAACGAGTATAAAAATTAAAAAACATATTTTTTTATTTTGTCATTTCTGCCACAGAACAGAACAGGTTGGTTTGTTACAAGATGGTAAGTCCATCCAAGAAACTCTAGGTAGTGGTACTGACTGGCACTGGTGAGGAGGAGGAGGGGCTGTGGCACAGGGGAAGAGCATTTGAGTAGCACTCATGGGGACCTGGAAGGAGAGGAAAGGAGAGTCCTTTCTTTCTCAAGCAGTAGATGCAATAAATGATGTTCTGTGAGTTTATAGTTAGTATTTGTAAGTAGTGTATATTTTTATCATTTAAAAACATTGTATTTATTTATTTATTTATTTATTTGTTTATTTATTTACTTATTTGAGACAGGCTTTCTCTGTGCAGTCCTGGCTGTCATTGGAACTACCTCTGTAGAACAGGCTGGCCTTGAACAAAGAGATCCACCTGCCTCTGCCTCCCTAGTGCTGGGATTAAAGACATGTACCAGTATAGTTTGGGTGAAAACCATTTTCAAATTTACATTATTTGATCATATTCTTCCCTTTCCTATGTTCATCCAGATGCCCCCTTCTCCCTACATACTCAACTTTAAGTTCTTTCTCAAAAAAACAAATTAAAAAACCAATTAAACTACAAATGCCCAAAATCTAGAAAATAAAATATAAAATATAACATCAGCCAAAAAGAAAATACAAAACAAAACAACCAACTATAACTAACTAAACACACACACACACACACACACACACACACACACACACACACACACACAGAGAGAGTTGCATCCATTATTTGTGGGTCAACTGCTGAACATGTGATGTGCCTGGGCGTGCTATTTATATCCTCCATCATTTTCATTGGAGAAAATTGATTTTCTCTGTCCCAGCAGATATAAATGACAGTTCCATTGTTAACCTTTATCCTAGTGTCTGGATTTACATTCATTCATTAATACAATCATTCATTCATTTTAAGAGACTATAAGATGATAAAACAAAAACTATCACATTGAAGTAAGACAACAGAGACAAAACAGAAGGAAAAGACCCCAGGAGCAGGGAACAGGAGTCACAGATAAATTTGTTCACATAGTTAGGAATCCCATAAAAACACTAAATCTGAAGCCATAGTATAAGCACAGAAGACCTGGTACAGACCTCTGCAGGCCCTGTGCATGCTGCTTCATTCCCTGAGTTTCCTATGAGCTTGGCTCATGCTGGTGTAGAGGGTCTTGTTCTCTTGGTGTCCTCCATCCAGCCTGGCTCCTACAGTCTTTCTGTCTCCTCTCTCCATGGGTTCCCTGAGCTCTGAGAGGGTGGATTTGTTGGAGATATCCAGTTTAGAGCTGAGTGTTCATGTATTTTGATCATATTTATGGCCAACACTTTCCCCTCATTCCTTCAAGATCTACCCTCACCATCTCCTAACTTTGTAAAAAAAAATGTCCTTTTCTAGAGACTGGAGATAAGGCTCAGTGGTTAAGATCACTAGCTGCTCTTTTAGAGGACCTGGGTTCAATTATCAGCACCTTCATGGTGGCTCAAACTGTATGTAACTCAAGTTCTAGGGGATCAGATGTCTCTTTAGTCTTCTGCCAGCAATGCATATACATGGTGCACATATCTGTGTACAGGGAAAACACCTGTAAACACATGATAAAAGTACACACTAGAGATGAATACATATAAAAAATTACAAATCTTTAAACTAAAGAAAGAAAACCTTACTACTATAAACTGAATCAGTCATTCCTTTTTCTTGATGGTTCCTGAGTCTTGAGGGCAGGGAATATGATATAGATGTCCCCTTTTGGAATCTTTGTTGTCAATCTGAGACATAATTCAACTTTATCTTTTGATTGGAGGCAGAGTGTTCAGCTAGGAGATAGTCTTCTGACAGATGGTAAGACCCCAACATTTTCTGAGTGTCTGTAAATCTATCTGTGTCATCATCAGAGAGGGTGATAGTGGCTTCAGTTCATGCATACGGTCTTGACCCTCTCAGTTTTCTGTCCTTAAACAACTTTGACATAGCACCTGTAACTGGGACCTACTTATACTTTTAATTTTTTGTAACTTTCATAATTTTTCCTAATATCTGGAGTCTACTGTGTAACAAAGGAAATCATTTTAGCCGTTGTCTTTAACCTTTCTGAAATTATTTATTGAAAATAGTTTAAAGTCTCTGTAGTCAGTATTGGACAGAAGAGAAAATACATTTTTTTCCAGGCTGCAATATCTTGCAGGGATCCCCTGTCTCACCCTGGGGTTGTTTTCTTTCTTTCTTTTTTTTCCCTCTTCTTCACAGAATGGTGAGTTTTGTGTTTTCCAATTATATGAACCATTAGTTGACAAGAAGACATTAATCTTGAAGATAAAGGAGTGGAACTTTCTCTTTTCCTTTGGTTTCAGCTCAGGGGACCTTTTCCCTTTTCCTAGGGCTGCTTAGAAGAGGCACGGAGAGCAGGGAGAGCTCACCGGGCAACTATTCCCCCCTCTCTGTGTGCATTCCACTTTCAGGGCAGAGGGCCCTGGATGAGAAGCCTGGACTCTCCTCAGGTTTGGTCAGGTCAGACCAAACCTGACCATGAGCAGGAGTCAAAAAATGAACCAAGAAAGTGCTCCCACTTATGGAATGGGACAGATGGAGGGTTCTTGTTTCTCTTGTTTTGTTTGTTTTTAGCTTGCTGGGTGACTTTACCAAACCAAAAATGAATTGGGTCTCTAACAGGAGGGGAAACATCTTAAGCCAGGGAGTTCTCACACCAGAGAAAGACATTGGTCAATACAAAGAACCAGAACTGACAAAAAAAGATGGGCACAGAGAGAGAGAGAGAGAGAGAGAGAGAGAGAGAGAGAGAGAGGAGAGAGAGAGAGAGAGGGAGAGGTAGGAAGGGAGGGAAGGAGGGAGTAAAGGAGAAAGGGAGGAAGGGAGAAAGAGAGAGAAGAAACCAGTGGTTACCACCATACATTCATACACCTGAACAGAAAAGAGAAACCTGTAACATCTCACAAAACTTCCCCAAACTAGAACAGTGACTTTGTCAGACTTCTCCTATGTGTCCAAAGAGGGTAACTTAATCAAATACACCTACAGATTTGACAGAAAAGACTACTTTCTAATTTGTTTCCTTTTGGAGAAAATACATGTAGTGATAATATTGTTCATGATCAGAATACAAAGAGAGCCACAAGCCATAGAGGCCAGGCAGAGGTGGTACACACTAATCCTAGAATTCAGGTGACAAAGGCAGATGGACCTGAGTTCAAGACCACCCTGGGATACACAAGAGTGAATCAGTCTAAAAGAATAACAGAGCTCAGACCTTTAATCCCAACTCTAGAGAGGGTCTCATGTGAGATTTAATTTCTAATCACTGGGAAGACAGGATCTCCACTTCGGCCTTGGTAGAGGTAAGAGCTACAGGCTGGCTGCTTTGCTTTTCTGATCTTCAGCTTGAACCCCAATATTTATCTCTGCATTTTTATTATTCTTGTTACAGAGACTTCAGACTCCTCTGAAGCAAGAAGCTGCAGTTGATCAAAGGGAGCCCCGGAGACACAGGACTCAGTTTGCACAGACCCTAGGATGGTGGCTCCTAACATTCCTAATGCTGTGACCCTTTAATATACATCCTCATATTGTGGTGACCCCAACTCTAAAATTATTGTTATTGATCCTGCATAACAATTCGGTTATAATTACAATGTAAATGTCTGATATGCAAGATATCTGGGGTGGGACAACTTTGAAAGGGCCCTTCGACATGCAAAGGGGTTGTGACCAACAGGTTAAGGACCAATGCCCTAAGAGCACTTTGGCCATCACATTCTTCCCCGCTCCATGGGATTCTGAGACATTCCGTGTGCTGAGGACTTGCTCCGGGATCTCCATGGGACTTCCAGCAATGTTGTGGGGTACTTACCAGAGATGACCACTCAGACATGGATTTAAGTCAGTAGAAACTCTTTATTAGTTGGTCAGCAACTACAATGGGTGTTTGGGATCCCAGTGCAGCACCAAGCCTTTCTCAGGCAGAGCATTTAAGCACAAAAACCCATGCTGTCTGTGGACAAACTATCAGTTAACCAGAAAAGTTAGCCAGAAGCAGAACTACAGAAGCTAAAAAGCAAGGTTAGCACATTCAGAGCCTTGCCCTTAACCATGGACTTGGATGGATTAGGCCTTTGTTTTAGTTCTGGTAAGTAGTGCTGTCTATGTGCTGAGTTTTACAGCCTGAACAGAGCTTCCATCATGAAATCAGTTGTGTTAAGGTCTAGGGCTGTGTTCCAATTTCCAGTGACTTCTACTAAAAAGCTAGTCCTCTATTTCTGTTTCCTATGATTAGTAGTTACAGGTTTCCTTTAGTGATATCTGAGATATTTGAATATTTCCATTTATATACACATGTGTAAAAACTTCACACTCCCACTAAGGAGATCTGGTTATTCTGATGCCTAAGCTAGGGAATGGGTACATGACCATGTTCTTTTCCAGTCTCTAGTTCAAGTAATTTCATGTAAGGACAAATCCCACCAGAAAGCACCAAGAACACAGTACAAGGTGATTTAAAAAAAAAAAAAGGACCAAGGAACTTTCACCAAGTGAAAGAACATGAAACATTATGTTGGCAGCATCAAGATTCATCTGGTTGAGGCTGATGGAGCGGAAGCTCAGTGGCACCAGACGAACTCTCACAACATTCTCTGGAGCATCTTCTCCCTACAGCAAGGAAACACATCTTTTGAAGGGTCTGAGGAAAGCCCAGGTCTATTTTCCTCGGGGTCCTGTACCTGTCATCAGTAACCACAGACACTGTCACTGAGGGTCATCAGTTTCCTCCTCCATCCCCCCTGGGCTCTCCATCCCTGGATTCTCTACTGTCCTCCTCTTCCTTTCCCATGAACCAGAGTCAGCCCCAGGCTGTGCTGCAGACCAAGAAGTTCAGAATAAAGTTATGATGACTAGTTCTGCCTCCTCTGTCAGGGTCTAATGGGAGGGGAGCAGGAGCAGGGAGGACCTCTATCCAGAAAGGGCTCTGGGACCTGGTGATCCAGACCTCTAGCGGGGTTCAAGGTGTGATTTCCCTTTCATTCTAAAACTCTCAAAATCTGAGAGTGGCATCACACTTGTGTGTCTGTCTCTGCCCCACCTTGTCCATCTGGGCAGCCCAGATGGGAGCCTTAGACTCCAGCAGCAGCTCAGTCCCCCCAGCCTTCAGTGGGGACACTGCTCCAGGGGTTTTGGAGGCTGCTGCTGCTTGATTTATTTGTATTTCATGCGTATGAGTGTGAGCCTGCATGCGTGTAGGTGCACTGTGTATCCCTGGGGTCTGTGGAGAAGGGGAAGGATCCCCTGGACCTGGAGCTGTATGGTTGTGAGCTGCTATGGGGGTGCTGGGAATAGAACATGGGTCTGGCTGGTCTTGCCCCTGGACCATCTCTTTATTTGTATCCCCTTCATCTGTGTCTGTGGGATGGAGTCCTTTTCCACCTACATACTAAGAGGAATCACCATTTCCTCCTGTGTTCCTGCTGTCACCTCATCTGTACCATGGGACCCTCCCGATTAGTAACCTGCTGTGTTTTTTAGGTACATGTTGTGTTCCCTCCTCATTCCCACTGTTCTGTGACCTGATTCATGTTGAGTGGAGGCTGAGCGTGCACAAGCTATTGCTAGCAGGTGACATGAACTCCAGGTCTCCCACCTCCTTTCTCAATAAGATGCTGAGACAAGAGTAGGACTCCAGGAATTCCCTCTGCTTCCTCACTCCTCACCCATCTTTCCCTCACCCCACTCCCAACACTGTCCTCAGTACCTGTCATTGTCAAGGGTTCCTCTTGGAAAACACAGAAGAGTGTAGGGGAGGATTATCAGCAGGACAGAGATGTTGGGCTTGATGGCCAGTGACGAAGGAGGCTGGTCCACATGTGGAGTAGCAGTTGGTGAGGCTGAAGTGGAAACACAAGTTGAGTCTTTGACCAGATCTCAAATCTGAGGAAATCTCATCTTAGATTCTGGGTCCTTAGCAACATCCAAAGTACCACTCCCCACCCCAACCCCTGTTACTATGCAACAACTGTGTTAGGTCTGTCCCGAGTGGGAAGGGAGAGGGGATGTCCCCTGACCTCAAAAGACCCATGTTAGGGGGAACAGGGTAATGGTGGGGCCTCATCTTTCCTACCGGCAGGAGAGGAGTCATGAGGATGGATGTCCTGTGAGGATGGTGTCAGGGAAGGAGGATCAGGTGAGATGAAAACCAACAGTGACTCGAGAATGAGGAAAAGGACAGGAAGTAAAGGGATGTTCAGTCTGGGACAGCCATTGAGAACCAGAGTGAGTGAACAGTGTAATCACAATGAGACAGGAGATGAGAAACACAATGAATGATGGAAAAAATGGCCATCAGCCCAAGAACTCAAGGCGATTAGATCACACACACACACACACACACACACACACACACACTCACACACACACACACCACCCACACACACACACACACACACACACACACACACACACACACCCTCATCTGCAGAGAGCTTCCTTTCATTCTCCTGTTACCTGTAGGCTGCAGCTTTTTTCCCAAGTGCAACATGATCTCCTGAAGCCAGGACCTACAGTCCCCTGTGAGGTCACTGTTAAGAAGGCAGTCACATGCCTGTCTTCCTTCAACAGCTCTTTAATCCTGCTGGATCCAGGACCGACTTCAGTCAGTTTCCCAGTGCTTGAGTCAAAGTGCAGTATTTTGTGTCCATTGAGGTCAATGTCCCAAGATGCATTCAAATGTCCATCTTCTTCATTCCAGCAACACATCTCGGCCTGCACAGTGAGGGCCTCTGTGCCCATAGGAAAGAGATCAGCCTCTGACCTTGATTAATCCTATCTACACATCCTCCCTTTCCAGCCTCTGACTTGTTTTTCCCTCCACATTTTAGCCTTGCTGCTGGACCTCTTAGGTAGAACTACCAATCATTCATTTTTTTCCCATCATGAAAACAATGAATGTACTTAATCTGCCACAGATCCTGTTCTTTCCTACAGGGCCCATTAATATGTTCTTTTATTTAGTTTGTAGCAGTGGGGATCGAACCTAGGGCCTCAATCATGCTAGGCAAGCCCTCTACCACTGAGCTACATCCCCAGCCTTTAGAAGCGTACCTCTGATTATATTATTTATGTGACTTGCTTGTTGCTTGATCAGGTTAACTCCATCGTTCAGAATGTCATTCTGTTTTTCACAGATCTTTGTGGCATTCAGTCTGCTCCCCAGAACACCAAAGACATGACAGTTGTCAATACTGATGTAGGAAAGGAAAGTCTCTTTGTTCAGTTGGCCTTGGACTTTGTGCCGCCATGGTCCAGACCCTGACTTGCCAACAGTGAAGATGTAGCAAAGAGAAGCAGCATCTATGAAGGAAACAAGCAGTGAGGTCAGGGATGTGGATCATGGGCTCAGGGACAGTCTCTGCCTGTGGGACGAGAAAGTCCTTCTGGAATAATGTCATTAAAATGGCAAGCAGAGGGTGGACGATAAGTAGGAAGAAAGAAAGGAAGCAATGAAGAAATAAATGAAAAAATAGAGGAAGGAAGAATGAATGAAAATAAAGACTTGAACATCTTTGCTGGTTAGCTCCATCCTTCGATACATCGTAAAATCTCCTAAGAAGAGAGTGTCTGTTGAGGCACTGCTTTGACTGCTAATGATGTAGTAATGTCCAGCCACTTTGGAATTATCATTCAATGGGAAGGTGGTCTCTGGCTGGATATGAAATCTAAGCCCTAAACCCAGGACCTCCTCCTGTTGTGTCTAGCTGACCCAGAAGTTACAGGAAGCATAGACCTGACTGCTGACTGAAAAATGCATCTCTGATAGTATTTCGAAGATACACTGATGGCACCAGATGGGCACCAATACTTGTACACAGGACACACCCTTATCTGGGTCAGAAGAATGATGGAGGGCAAATCTGCTGTCCTATTCATCAGCTTGTTGCCTTCTGATTCTGTCACACTAAATGCAAAATTGAGTATTTGATGCAGGACAGATATAGTGAGGCTGGCCAGGTGGAAGATATTTAGCGCCTGCCCTTTTCAGAAAAAAAGATAAAAGACAGCCCACTCCTGCCTAAATCAACAATTTTGTCAGATGTCATCTCCCCAGGAGGTAGACACACGGGCCTGTTGGCCAAGGGCAGAACCTTCCACATATCCCCACCCAGTGCCATTGCCAGGATCCATTATAGTTGCCCCTGATTAGCTGAGGTGCTAATCCACAGAGTTTCACCTGGTGGAAAGGGACAGAAAGACACTTAATGGATGGGAAAATGGGAAAGGCAGGGAAGGGAGCTGAGCTGCTGGTGGTGGAAGAGTCAGATGGGATCAAAGCTGAGCTTAGTGGTACAAATCTCTAATCCCAGCACTTGACAGACCTAGGGAGAGAAGGGATTGCTGCAAATTCTTTGGTGTGGACTATGGTGTGAAATCCATAAAACAAAACAACAGCAAGAACAACAGGGGATAAAAAGTGAAAAAGAGAAAGGGATCCTTGATCCTTGAAGCATCTATTGTGATCTGCTGGAAAAATATGGTGTGAAGGTGAGAAAGAAAGTTGTAGCTCACAGCAGTTCAGGAACGGTGGAGGACTGGTGGGGAATCCCCTGGGAAGAGTCTTTAGAACACCCACTGCCAAGGGTTTTGGCTGGCTCTCTCACTGTGCCCATCACCTAAGGGCCTCCTGACTCGGTTTAGACTTCCTGTGGACCCCAGTGTGGCCGAGGGCTGAAGGCAATACCAGATTCCCCTATGACATCTTGCCCTCCTTATTTGTCCTCTGGAGTTTGTAACTTTCAGAAACCATACCGTGATTGGAACGTGGGTAGGGAGAGGTACAGTGTGTGTCAAGCCGGTGTGACACACCGGAGGGGCGTGTCTGTGTGTGGCATTGGCTGGGGCGAGGGACTGTGCAGTGGGTCCCTCTGGCAGAGCTTCCTGGAGCAGGACTGCTACCCCGTGCCACCCCGCCCCCCACCGATTCCCTGCATCCATCCAGTTAGACCGCGGTAACTCACCATTTGGCAACACTGACCACAGACAAATCAGTAGAACGGAGAAGCACAGAGCCATGTGCTCGTCGGCTGCTTTCTTTGCCATACCCTGAGCAACAGGTTTAGTTGCAGGAGCTGCGGAAAGAAGCGGAGAGGTGTCAGTGCCGCTCTGCAGAGGAATTGCACACAAAGTGCCACAAAGTGCTCTTAAATGCTCACAGAGTCTCTGACAGACTTCTGTAGCCTCTCCTTTTGGGAGGCGGAGTCTATGATCTGATTGCAGATCTGCTGTCTGTCGTCGTCCAATCCCAAGGCTTCTAAAGCTGGTCCCCACCCCAGCCCATGACTCTAGGAACTATGCGACTATGCTGCCTGAACTCAAAGTCTTCCCCTATAGTCATCCTCTCTCTCAAACCTCCTTTCTTATCTCCCCCACCCCCAAAGCTGGCCTCTGTGCACTTCCCAACACCTCCCCACTTCCTCCATCTCGATCCCAGACTCATTTTCTCCACCTGGTGCCTTCCCCTCAACCCTGCCATCCCTCCTCCCTTTAAATTGTTGTCCTAATTCTTGGCCAGGGTCCCAGCATTCCCCAGCCACTTACAGCCCTAATCAGTCTCCCCTCCCCAAACTCCATCTCCTTCCTTTACCCTCCCCACCCCCACACAAAGAAGACAATCACTATCTTGGCAGCAAGGCTGTGCTTTTCTCCTTAACTCTGTGACACTGTACCCTAAGACCTTTAGGAAAGTTCTGCAATCACAAAATCATTCAATTATGAGCAGCTTCTGGGGCCTGTAGAGATGGCTCAGAGGTTAGGAGCACTGACTATTCTTCCAGAGGATCCATGTTGGAATTCCATCCCCTCTTCTGCATTGTTCACTGACCCTTAGGTGTGGGAGTGTTTTGAAGGTGTATCCCTTAGGACTGGGGGCCACCACTCTGCATATTGGTGGGTTGTGGTTTTTTGTAGTGGTCTGCATCCTTTGTAAAGAGAAGTTTCCTTTATGAGGGTGAAGAATACATTTACCCTGTGTTTAAGGACAAACTTTTATAGATTGTTGTTAGAGATTGTGCTGGTTTTGTAAATTAGTGGTTGTACATTCTCCTCCAATCACCATGACTTCAGCACTGATTAGTTGGCTGGGTTTCCAGTACCAGGCATGCTATCCCTCTTGCTGAGCTGGTCTTAAGTTCCATGAGAGAGCTGCTGGTGACTACCAAGTTATGTGTGTCACTACTGCACCTATAGGATTACTGTGACTTGCTGCTCATTGATATGGTCATAGGCTTCATAGCTGGGTGTCACTGTTGGCTGTCTCCCTCCTTTGGAAGCCTGCATGGCAGCTTTTGGAACAATGAAAACTAGTACTTAGATCAGTTCCAGCTCAGGGGCCTCTGGACCCCTTTTCTAAAGTGCAGCGTCTTCAGCAATAGGGACTTACCTTCCACCTTTAGGGATAAACAAGGGCAACAGCAGTAGGCTGTATGTTCTGGGAGCCTCTTGACAGCCTGTTAGAGAGCCCTGTGCAACCACTCAAAAGAGGGCTTCTCTGGCCTGGTATTGGGGTTTGTTTGGAGAGAGTGCCATCAGCCCCCATGAAAAAAGATCATTAAAACTATATATATATAGTCATACACTGAATTACATTTGTTATATTTTTAGGTAAATAATTAATTTTTCCAGCCACCTTATTGTTATTTTACCTCTCTCTGTCTTCTCCTGTATTACCTCTCTCCCAATTCTCTCAGGAGACCTCATTTTCCATATTCCCCTATCATTTCAACTGTATCCCTCTTGTTCCCCTTTACCTTCCTCCCACTTTCTTCTGCACTGACCTCCCTCTCCCTCCTTAACGTCCTCCTTCCCTTGTCCCTATCATATTATCTAACTCTTAAGTTATCTTACTAAGCTCACACTTAGAACTATAGTTCTGCCCACTGTTATCAATGTTACACTTTTGGATGCTCAGTCTGCAGTTCTCCTTTGACAGGGACTCTGACTAGATCCCGAGACTCACTAACAGTCTCAGTGTTTTATCAAGGTGACAGTCAAGGGCATCTGGAGTTCCCAGACAAACAAGTCTTTTCAATCACCTCCTCTTAATAATATGGCAGATTGGATCTATCTTAACATCCTCCCACAGGACAAAAGGTCACTAGAAACTGTGAATTGAACACAATTAGGCTCTCACAGGTCCAATTTCAGTCAAGCTACAAAGCCGCCCACTGTGGATTCTCCCGAGCAGAGTTAAGATGCTCCATGTACAGAATCTCCTCTGCTCTACTACTTTGAGCATCTTGTAGACTTGAATCTTCTTCCAGTGAAGCCTAATCCAGTCCCTGGGTTCTGAGGCTGGAACTCAGTTGTCTTGTGTCTTACTTAGGGTTTTTGTAGCAGTGATGAATCACCATGACCAATGCAACTTGACGAAGAATGGGTCTATTTGGTTTATACATCCCCAGTTTATGGATAACTTGGCTGAATCTCAAGTGGGCAGGAACCTGGAGGCAGCAGGTGATGCAGAGGCCATGGAAAAGCCCAGCTTGCTGGCTTGCTCTTCATGGTTCACTCATCCTGCTTTCTTATAGCACCAAGGATCATATGACCAGGGGTGGTATGACCCACAATGGCCTGGGCCTTCCCAAATCAACTACTACTTAAGAAAATGCCTTCCAGACTTGCCCACAGTCCAATATTCTGATCCCATGGAGGCATTTTTTCAGTGGAGGTTCCCTCCTCTCAGATGATTTTAGTTTTGTGTAAGTTGAGAAGAAATAAGACAGTGAATCATGCTAGGAGACAAGGGCTTTTACCCTCTCAGCCACCATGCCCAATAGTGCTTGCAAGTTCTGAAAATTTGGTCTCTACTTTCTTACCCTGAGACACTCCTCAGTAGCCAAGACTGGCCTTTCTGAGTTAATGGCTTGTTCCTACGGTCTCTTTTCCTGTTTCCTTTAAGTCCTAAAGCACAATTCAGTTTTCAGGATTCATTAGAGCCCTTTATTTTCTTCTGGCAGATGGTGTAGACTATTCCTAGACTGAGGTTGTCACTCTAGTCATAGTCCCTGTTTCCACTTCTCTGCAAAGACCAAAATGTGACGGTGGATCTGTATTTGGGGGCTTACTCAATGGCTCCTTACTCATCCCTCTGTGTTAAGGAACCAGCCCTCCCCAGAAAGGCAATTTCTTTTCCTAGACTGGTTCTTAGATGTTCACTGCCTCCCTTTGTGGTGGTTTGGATAAGAATGGCCTTCTTAGGCTCATATGCTTGAATGCTTAGTCACGAGGGAATGGAAGTGTTTGATAGGATTGGAAGGATTAGGAACAGTGGCCGTTTTGGAGGAAGTGTGTCACTGGGGATGGGCTTTGAGGGTTTAAAAGCCTATGGCTGACCCAGTCTTACTCTCTGCTTCTGGATCAGAGGTCTCAGCTACATCTCCAGCACCATGAGTGTGTGCCACCATGCTGCCTGCCAGACAATAATGGACTAAGCCTTTGAAACTGGTGCCACCATGCTGGCTGCCATGACAATAATGGACTAAGCCTCTGAAACTAACAAGCCCCGTTAAATTCTTTCTCTTACAAGCATTGCTTAACTCATAGTGTCTGTTCATAGCAATGGAATAGCCACCAAGATGTCCTTCAAGGTGATTTCCTTTTCCCCAAAGCCAGGACTCTCCTGCTGTGGAGCCCCTGAAAGCCTTCATGGGTTAAACACTTTCTGACTGGAGTGGTTCCTAGGCCGCTTTTCAGGATGGGGGTTGGAGTTTCTCTCATTGCTCTATTCTTAAAAAAATGATGTTCGTGTGTGTGTGTGTGTGTGTGTGTGTGTGTGTGTGTGTGTGGTCAGAGGAGAACTTGGAAATCCCTTCTCCTTCCGCCATGTGGACTCTGATGGAACTGTGCTATGCTAGGAGCAAGGCCAGGGAACTTTGCTTCACTGTGTAAAAGGATGGATTTCCCTTTCAAAGGTATGTTTCTCTTCAAAAATTTGTTTGCTGTCTTGTCACAGTGTCTGTCCTGGATAGCTTTCACCAATTTGATAGAAATTAGAGTCATCTCTACAATCCAGTCTAGATGCATTTTATTTCTTTTTCTTGCCCAGTTGCTCTATCTTGGACTTCTAGTACTGTATTGAGTACAGTTTGTGAAAGCAGCTATCTTCCTGTGTTCAACTTCTTACTGTTAAAACTATGCTGTTAGCTATAGTGTAGTGTGAGTCTTTGTGTGTGTGTGAGTGTGTGTGTAAGGACATTCTTCTCATACTTAGTTTCTTGACAGAATTCATCACAAAGTGTTTTGTTTTTTTAAGTTTACATCTTTCAACATAATTACTTTATTCATTCTTTGACAATTTCACATCATGCACCCCAATCCTGCTCATTTCTTAGTCCCTCCATATCTGCCTCTCACCCTTGTAGTGTCCCATATGAAAATTTGGAAAGAAATAAAAATGTTAATAAAAAGCAAGCAAACAAGAGCTGAAACAAAATAAAACAAAAGCCCCACTTCCCTCCTGCCTTTCCTGTCTCTCCATCACCTCTTCATCTGTCTTAGTGGCATTGGGAGTAAACCCCTTTGTCCAAACCCCGTTATTTGCAAGTGTTCATTGAGTTGTTGGACAGGTTCAAGGTCTCTGGCTTCTGGTACACCGTCAATACTGAACCCTCACTGAAACTCCTCTCAGATATCCTGCTGTTGCCCCAAGTCATGGAGACCCTGTGGCTATAGTACATGAGAACCAGTCCCTTCATGCACTCTGGCAGGTCATGGATGGGTTAGATGTTAGGGTGGGCCAACTTAAAGTCCTGGATGTGTGCCTGAATTGGTCTGTCTGGGCCACTGGGATCTCCTCCCTCAGGCAAGAAGTGGGTGTAACCAGCCCTCCCATGCCCCTGGTGAAGGATGGGAGCCAGTTTTTCAGAGCACAGGGACTCCTCTACCATGAGGGGCAGCCCAGTTCTCCAGTTCCTGGTCATTGGGACTGGCTCTCCTAGGACCATGGAGGGGTAGGACCAACTCTCCCATGAGGGTCAGGACCAGCTCTCTCTCAGAGCCAGTGAGGGACAGGGCTGGCTCAGCCTGGTCCTCAGACTTCAACACACATTGTTTGCACGGGCTCCTGTGTTAACACTGGCAATGGGTGTGAACAGAGACCTCAGGTGCACAGGACCATGAACCCATATGTGGGACTCAGCAGCAGCGTGGGCCTGGATATCTTCATGGCTCCAATAGCAGTGCAGGCCACTCAGATCATTATGGGCCCAGCATCAGAGAGGTTTCCAGACTTCAACATGGCTCCAGACTCTTTGGGTATATGGATGCCAGGGGCTGGGCTGACACTCCCACCATAACAAGT